TGTAATCGGCTCGCTGAGGAGAACGTTGAAATAACGTCCATATTCTGCGGCGGTGTGGTCGTTGACATAGCCCCGCGCCACCAAAAAGTTCTTGATCTCCGGCACCTGCATGAGCATCCAACCAATCATGTATTGGCGTTGTGCTGGGGAAAGCCCCGCTGGAAAACCACTGAGAAGGACCTGGAGCGCGCTCTGGTTCTTCTGCTGCTGCCTATTGTCTGAGGCCATCCAGCTCAACTCTCTCTTGACCTGGAAAACACGGTCATCCACTGTACGCAAAGCTGTCTCCACCTGCAAAACCAAATTGTACAGTTCTGGCCGAATAACACCCTTGTGATAACAACGCAAAATCTTCATGACATCTTGCGTTGTGGTCACAGGGGCTTGGAGCCACTCCTGAACTCGCTGCGGCTGGTTTATATCCACGCCCATAAGTCCAGTTGTAATCTGCGTTGCGGCGGCGTCGTCCACTGTAAAGGGGTGCACTAGCGTAGGCGGGAGGTGTTGCGGTGTGGTCTGGGATCCACTCCCCGTTGCTCCTCCTTGCACGTCGCCCATAGGCGTGCCAGACGCCGACTCCATGGGCGTCGGGGGGCCACGCTTGACCGACTGCCTGTGCTGCCAGTACACCTGCTGAACCGAAGCATGATCGACTTGACGAAGGCGATTATACTCCTCTGCGTACACCTGAACTGCAGCTGGATCGTTGCTAGGATTTGCCATGGCTGCAAAGACCTACCTCCCTTGGGGAGCGGTGTGGTCGAGTTGAACTGCGACCAGAACGAAAAATGCAATCTGCATGCACAACTTGCAGCCGATACGCCTACCGTTTTCCCTTGCAGGCACTCAAACAGAAGCTTTCATTTCCTCGTCGTAGAGGGTGATGCTCAGCCGAAGGTTTGTGCAGCGGGATGGCCGAACACTTGGATCAGATGCCTACAACCTGAGTCGTAAGTTTTTGGCTTATGGCAGTTCCTTGAGCCGTAAAGTTGCTTTTGAGGCGGAGCACTGAAAGGGATTGTACATTCCGCAAGGCAGGAATGTTAATATCAGCAGTCCGCTGTGCAGACCTGTGACACTCTGCTCATAGCTCTCATCGTGAGACCCTACGAACTGAACGAGGCATGGAGGTCCGCTCGCAATAACAGTGCATTTAATAATATGTAATTACTGTTAAGACTACTTATTATTAGTACTAGGAATAAGTAAAAGCATTAGCATTAGAATCCGTAGTAGTGCTGGTATAAGACTTAGGATTAGTTATGTATAGTATTAGTAGTATTATTGTTATTATTATGGTTACTACTACTACTACTACTACTACTACTACTACTACTACTGCTACTACTACTATTCATTTCTATGACTATGACCATCATTGTTAATCCCTGCCCCTTCCGGCCTGCAGTTCTCCTTCCAAGGACTCTCCCCTCCATGTCGGTCGCCCGCCACCTGAGCAACAACGGCCTTCCGTTCTCTGAACTCATATGCGGCAACAGCCAGGAATGGGTGGCCTTCCGACGGCCTCTTCATAAAGGCATCTGTGAGAATCTCCTCAGCTTCCCAGCAGGGAGAGCAAAATGAATAGCAAGAAAAGAAACAAAAAAATCGGAAGAGTCCATAAATGGCGGCCACGGTGTGCCCTCACCTTCTATGCGAACAATCATGCTTGCTCTCTTCCCAAGCAGAACAACAAAACACTAAGTTTCGTATTAACTCAACGGCCAGTCTATATCAGAGAAACGATACATCATATCGAAATGTCGGCTGAATAAATTAGACTTTTCTGCACTGGCCCTGCAGCCAATGCAACCCGCAGCAACCCCGTGTAGCAACACAATTCCAATTTACGGTCCAGCCCGAAGCCTTTCAGCAAACTCACCCAATAGTGTCCGCGAGCGGCTGCACCGCGTGCCTGGCCCTCCTCCGAGGCTTGCGCTTCGCAGTATTGGTTTTGAGGGGGCACTGCGGATGCCTATCGCAGCATGCGTTAGACAGGCTTGCGACAACTTGAGGCAGCTCATGCACCATTCAAAACAGGATGCCCATCCTACTTGCAGTGATTCTCAACCGGAAAGCCTGAGAGCCACTAGGACAAGACAACACAAGCGCTCCAAGAACTCCGCCGATGCGAAGGCTGTGAGGCCGGAGGCTTCTAACTCCCCTCGCAGCCTGTGCAACATGTGCTGATTGCACCTAGACCTAATCCTCTTCCTGCTTTTTTCAACAAGAAGCTTTCCGCAAAGGTTTCGGAAGATTTTTCGGTATACTTCAACATCTGTGCCCACCCTGCAGGTGTAGCCTCCTCTTGTAAAGAACGTAGCGGTTCCAGAGGCTGGATATCTCGATCCGGCGAGCTGAAAGGACCTGCTTCAAAAAAGGCATGTGGCTACACGACAATGCCTGTGCACCAGCCTTGGCTACCACTTACAAATGTATGCGACAAGCCCCGATCAAGCAAACGGAATGACCCAAAGAAGTCGTCCATCAAGAAACACATTCTCTTCCAGACGCGAATCTCAAGCTGCGGAGCCTCGATCCTGCGACCACCTCAGGGATGGCAAAGTTTTTCGACGCAGCCGAGCTCACGAAAGCCAGGAAAAAACAGAAATCGATCCAGTTTGCAACTCTCCCAGCCTGGGTAGCACGCCTGCGCCATCTGTTCCAGCCCATCGCGTTCCGGTCTCCGCACACCATACTGCACCTGCAAGACGAAAAGCTGAGAAGAAGCAGAAGAAGAATACCACTCCTAGCACTAATGATAGTAATAGTAGTGTAGTATTAATAGCATATGAATATGAATAATGAACAATAGTAATAAGAGTAGTGGGATTAATATTGCCAGTTTCGAGTCGCTCTGGAGCGGAGTTGTCTCGTGCCTCGAAAGACTTCACCTGCGGGTTCAGGTGGAAATTCTGGAAATAGTTCGGCAGCCTGAACGTTTAGGGTTTAGGGGTTTAGGGGTTTAGGGTTTAGGGTCGTCCGAAATGGCAGCAGCGCATCCACACCCCTTTCCAGCTCCCTTTGTGCAGCTAGGGAGCTGTGGGTGAAGCGGAGGCAGGCCGAACCGAAATGCCTCCAGTGCCACGGCCTCCAGGTCGGAAGTCGAGCTTGGGACTTCGGAGATAAGGAGTCAAGAGGCAATTTTGAAGCCGCTTTGCTGGCCTTGGGCCGCCGAGAGTAGAAGATCACATACTCCGGATAAACCTGCAAGAGCAAACGAAGGTTGCCCAGCCGCTCTCGGCGCTCCCCAGCTTTGACACAGTTGAGCCTGGTCTGGATCGTAGGCAGTGAACTCTCGGAACGTGTTCGCCGCGCGAGTCCTTGCGAGAAGCTCCGATGCGAAGACAACTGCATAAAGCATCTGCTTTCAACCTGTCCTGTCGCCGACTGTGCTGTCAATAGTCCCAGCTTCCGCCATGCCACCTTCACTGAATGGTGGATCTACAGAGCACAGGTGCACTAGACAAGAAAGCTTCAATATGCCAAGAACCAAATTCTGCGCCCAAAGCCTACAACTCTGCTGCACCTGACCTTGTCAGACTAGGAAATCTCTCTCAGATGTGGGGCCCTGACCTGCGGAGTCAAAACGATCCTCCGAAAAGTGGAACTTACCCAGGCATACGCGGCAAAGGAGGAGGGCGAACACGTCTTGGTAGAAGCCTGGACAGTGGCCCCACAAGTCAGCCCTCTCCCGTTATGGCATGAGCGCGTGACCGAGGGAGCCCTGAATCAGCCCGAGTCACCATGCGGCTCGTCCCTCGCATACTCGTCTGCTTTCGTGCCTCAGACCACAGCAGTGACTACCACCAGCGGCAGACCACTCGCAACTCATCGACTCGGCTCGCCGAGGAGCTGTTCTCAGCGAAGTACATGCCTTTGCCGTACATGGTCCCGTTCAATCCCGCCATCTGAATGTCGAAACCCTGGTGCGCGATGTTAAGGGCTGCCCGGATGTGGGTTCCATGCCACAAATACACCTCGTTCAAGCTTGCATCCACAGGAGTAAACAGCTCAGGGTGCTGGTCCACCACTCCTCACAGCACGGAGGTTGGCAGAAGTACCGAAACCCTTGCATGCAAGTTGATGAGACCCCAAAGTGTACTCCGCATGTCACCGCATGTCAACATGATGTCACACCAAGTCCTGCAGTGCAGACTGGATCCTCGACTTTGCCCATGCCCTGCATCAAGGACAGACCCAAATCTCAAACCCATGAGCCTAAAACCCGGTGTCCCAAAAAATAACAGTAATTGCAACCGCATACTGGCGCGGGCCGCTGCCATCCAGAATCGGAAGAGTATTGACAGTATTGGTTGGCTCCGACGACATAACAGGCAAGAGCATACGACACTGCTGTCTAGAGCCATTGTTCATGAAAGCCTATGCCGCAAATCACAAGCCCGCAAGTAAAGCCACCTGATGCCTGAAAACCTGCAAACAATGAAGCCTTGACGAGTAAGCCTGAGCAAGCTTGAATTACACACCTTTATACATTTTTTGATACGCTGACCTGGCGTCTGGACCGAAGCTGCGCCCTCTTCTCCACAAAGCGCGTCCAGCTCCTCCGGACATGCGGGGGTTGGGTTGTCGGGTGTCTGCCGGCTGGTTGGCTTTGTTGGCTTTGTTGGCTTGGGTGTGGAGCTGGCCCATGGCTTCCCCGTGTCCCGGAGTTCTCGGCCCGGAGCACCCGGCGAATCACGTAGCTGGCGGGCAATCCTCGAGGCCGCAGGTACTAGTCCTGCTCTTTCTGAACTCATCCAGCCTCCCCCCGGCCTGGCTCGCCATCGGGCTGCACGCAGGGGCATCTCCCGGGCCTTTTGGGGCAAGCGCCATCCGGACATGGCCTCTCGGCAAAGACAAGAAAGACGAGATGCAGGAGTCCAGATCAGCTTTCGCAATGTGCTCCTGTCTTGGCTGCTTCTTGCCCGATAGGTAGAATCAAGGAGTTCTGCAAACGGCGGCCACTGCTCCTTACAAGCATATACAGCTCCAAGATCCCAACAGCTTTCTTCCGGCTTTACCATCTCCTCTCCGACATAGAGCATCGAATTGAACTCCGTCTCTTCACCTGCGTTGCCTCAGGACGCGAAGCCAGACTCAAGCTCCTGCTTCGGCCGTTTGGTTTGTTGCCTTCGGCCGAGCCTTCTCCTCTGAAATCAACCCAATGCTTCAACAATCACATTACTTCCCTTTGTAGCAGAGGCGCTCCAGTATGCGGGCAATGCAGCACGGACGTCAGCTCCCAGTGGTTCACCCTGCTCCTTAAAGGCTCGGTACTTCTCCGCCACAAGTCGACAGCGGTGGGCTACGACGGCACGACAAGTACACGAGCATGCGTGATCTTCTCTGGCAACCATCAAGAACTCTTGCTCGGATCTCTCAACCCTCCTTCCCTACGCTTTCAAACATCATGTGCAGAAGCACCATGCATGTATCCTCCCAACAGGCAAGGCTCATCAATGAAGCACACCGCCTGGCACCACGAATCTACGTAAGAAAAGCTGAGATGGACCAGGGCATGACCAAGGCCGAGAGTGATTTGATCCGGTGTCTCGGAGATATCTGCTAGTCACGAGTGCAAGCATGCCGAAAGCGAGAATCCAACGTTAAAGCCAACGCTGACACTCAACGATCCAGCCATCCATGAAGCCACGGAATGAGGACTTTGAGGTCGGACCCTGGGTGCCTTGGCACCAAGTGGAGTCCGGATCCATCCACGC